TTATGTCTTCTGATGACAGATTCTGGGCAATCAACTTGCATTGAATTCGTTGATAGGACCGTAAAATCAATGATCAGCAAGATATTTGACTGCTCAAACTTGTGTACAACTCACTCACTCAGTCAGGAAAATATGATCTGCTGCAGAGAAACGTAGTCGATACTTCCGTCGGCTAGCTCATGTTGGTCACATGGACTTTGAGTATGCAATTTGGCAAATGTGTTTCAGCTGTATGTTTGACCACAGCGTGGTTTTAGAAATTTTAAATATCGTAAATGTCCACGGCAACAGTAGGCCAGAGATAACCCGGTCTTTCTAGTGCAAATGATGGGCTTTCTTGTGTTTACCTCATTGGGTTTCTCCGTGTCTTGGTATCACACAGTTCAACAGACGAATCACAGAGAAAGCTAAGAGTTCATTATTGTCCATTTTTTAAGTTTCTGAACGAACTGCTAAGCAAGGTAACTTTCCTTGTAGGGGATTGGTTGTCTCAAGCTGACATAACCGTCTTCACAGCACTGCATCCGTTGTCTATTCATGTTTATGAAGAAAACCATCGAAAGCCTTTCCTTCATGTTGTACGTTGGTATACCACTGTTGCTAACCAACCGTAAGTGATGAAAGTGGTTGGAACGTCGTCGATTTGTGTTAAGGCTGCCCAGTTTGATGCCAACAGGTATTCCGAGATACAAGGAAAGGTCACTGAAACTGAGTCACTCAAGGAAACAAAAGAAAAACACAAGAAGGAAGCTCCTGCCAAAAAGGAAAAACCTACTGCCAAAGATGAAGAAGAAGAGGAACGCCCATGGCCTAGCGAAAATGCTCTTGTCAATCCACTCCCTGGAAAGTTGGACATGGATGCCTTTAAAAGAGTATACAGTAACATGGACATCGATAAGGTAACGATTCCTTACTTCTGGAGTAATTGTGACCAAGAAACGCACTCCATTTGGTATTGTGAATACAAGTACCCTGAGGAGTTATCACTAGTCTTTATGACATTTAATCTATCTCATTGGTGGCTTTCTCCAACGAGTAGAAAATATGATCAGGTGTGCACTTTCTAGCATGTGTATCTTTGGAGAAAACAACAATAATCCCATTGGTGGTCTGTGGATTTGGTGTGGTACTGGTCTTGCTTTTCAGCTAGATGAAGATCTGCAAGTCAGCTACGAGTCATACAACTGCCAGAAGCTAGATCCTCAAGCTGAAGAAACGAAGAGTCTTGTTCAAGATTACTTGACACACAAGTTTCAGGACAGACCATTTAACCAGGGCGAAATAGCTTTTCAATGAAAATATAGTGTTTTGTCTTGCTTTCTGTGTTAATTAATCTGCCATTTTCATAGTTAACACTTTTGAATTCTGGTCGATATATTGATTTTATTATTGTTATTATTGATTAGTTAATTATTTTGCACAGTAGGAATTAAAAGGTGTCAAATTATACTAGAAAGTCACCGTCATCATCCTCATCGACTTCATTAACACAAACTTATTTCATGTCACTTAGATACCGTTAGAAGAGTGAATATAAGTATCTTTAGTTTTGTTTTAATCCTGTCTCCTAGATACAATTGAAGAACAGTTAGGGTATTTCGAATACTACTACTAATTAGTGAAAAGATCAATGATTCATTCATACTAATCAGGAAAGAAGTTGAATCAAGCATAAAGTCAGTAGATGAACTGGAGATTCAGAAGGCAATTGGAAGCTCATAAACTAGCTGACACATTTCGATTAATCACGCTGTGACGCTTGGTATTGTTTTCCTATGAAAAAAACTATAAAAGCGAATGAACAAGCAATTTGAACAGCTTGCATACCCAAATCGCACATAATCAGTTGGCGATCAGCGTCTGTAAGTATGGTGTGTGCTTTGTGCCGTCTTTTTGCAAAGTAGTATTGTTACAAGACTGACAGGAGCCCTGTACCTACACTCATCAGTAAATATTACTGTTTAACACCGTGAGACTTTATCAAAATAAATTTTACCCATAATGTAATTGATTAAAAATGCCCATTAAAATTTTCAAAAGGGTGGAGACGGAACAAAGAGTACTCTTTTCGATAAATTCATCATCAGCTTCTACAATTATATATACATTATAATGAATGAATGAATTAGTCTTATGAACGACACTAATGTTTAAATAACATCAAATCAATAATATTGATTAATTACAGTTGAACAGCATCAACAAAGTAAACTGAATGTCAGGAGAATTAGGAAAGGTAATAGTACAAATTCATGGGTTTATAGTTTCTGTTGAGGGCGAGGGCAGTAGTATGGGCTGGACTTGTTTATTTTGAACGCATAGCACTGGTTGTTTGAGGCGAATTGCAATAGCCTCTGCTGTTTGGAGCATGTGGTGCTTCGACGATTTTGGCAATTTTTTAGGCACGCGGTATATCATAGGCAAGGATTCTTCTGCGCTGGTTTTGTGACCGGTTTGCACTAGATGGTCTAATATCGAGCTGTTAATAGTTTTAACTACACCTTTACTTAGCCATAGTGGGAGATGTTCTCGAGCACGAAAAATCAAGTTCCCAGAGCAATGGCCAATATAACTCGCTCCACAAGCGCAGTTGAATTGACAGATACAATTTGAAGTGGCTAATCTAGGTACTTCCTCTTTCAGTCGAGGTAGAACCATCGGTCGTGTAGAGAATAATACGTGTAGTTCGCCAGCATTAAAAGTTCTTTGAACTGATTTTCTTAATTTCTTCTTAAATATTTCTCTTGGTATATCGCCCATGAATTGTAGTCGTATATATAGAGGCTTCTTGTCTACAGATAGTGGGTAGTCCTTTTCCGCTTTCTTTGTCATATGTTTCTTAATAAATTTGTCAGGATAACCATTTTCAATTAAAGTATCATATACCATGCTTAATTCATCTTTAATTACTTCTTCAGAGCATATAGCTCTAACTCTGTGGCTAAGGGTCTTCACCAAATTCCTTTTGTAATTGATGGGAACGAAGGTATGAAAGTTTGTATATTGTCCTGTCCAAGTGCTTTTTCTATGCAAATTTCTTTTTATGCTACCGTCTAGTTTTCTTGTAAGTAGGACATCCAGGAAGGCAATTCTGTCTTGGGATTCCTCTTCGCATGTGAACTTCATAGCCGAATGTACTTCATTGAATTCAGTAATTATTCTACTCCTATCAGAACAGTGTAATTGTACTCTACCGCCACAGTGCACAAGTTCTATTCTTATACACCTAGAGTCCTATCTTCTCTGCAGAGTTTCTTCTCCAGTTTGTTTGTTTTCGCCTGCCTTCCTGCAAGTCTCCGAGTTTGTGTGTGCATGTGACATTAAATATAAATCAACCACACACGAAATCCAGATCTTCTACAGTCTTCTTATCGTTCAGTGCTGCAGTGTAATCCTGTCTTCTCACTGGCCTCCTGTGCACAGTCTGACGCATAATCCAGTCAATCCATCCCAATTAGGAATATCATCGTGGGTGATAATAGGCAGCCTAATCGTATTGATATATATATGGTCATGAAAAATGTTATAATGTGAACCATAACAAAATATTTGTGATCGTAATCCCAGTTAAATATCAAGCGACAAAGTAGGTTACGAACTTTATAAAGCGGTTCATAGACTGTGCACATCTTCTATGTCGGTAAGTGTAGAATAAATAAGATTATTTGGTCATTAGAACACGATGCGACAAGGTGAGAATGATGATAAGACAACATCGCAATAAATTATATTATATTGAATTAAATACACAAAGTCTGACAACTGAGATGTCACCGGAAATTACACAAAGTGGAATTATTATTATTAATATTGCTTCCTTTAGTTCCTAGAGGAATATAGGGCTTCAGCCACACGTCTCCACTGCGTTCGGTTCTCCGCCAACGTTTTCACCTGACTACACGTCTGCCCACATGCCTTCATCTGCTCTTCTCATCAACTCCTCCATATCGCCCTCTCAATGACGACCGACCCGCCACTCCTCATTCAGGTTCCACTCGAGCCATGGCCTAGCGTGTGATGTCACTTGATGGTTTGTTTTCTGAGAGTATGGCCAATCCACCAGCTGGATTTCTTCCTGCAGATTTATAGCACAATCGGTTCCTGCTGGGTTGGTTCGCTCATTGCCAGAGATCCCTGCCTGTTGCTGATCTTTTCTGGCCGGTCATCTGACGTTGAGTAGTATTGATCGAAGTCAGCTGTTGATGAAGGTCTGTAGTTTGTTTGAGATGCTCTTAATGACGCGCCAAGTCTCTGATCCGTATAATAAGTAGCAATGACTTCACACTGGAGTTGAAAATCCTCATCTTATTTTCATTTTCATGCTGAGTGCTGTTGACCTTCACACAGACATGAGAGTAATAAGAGCTTGCCTTGCTTCCTCGATCCTCTCCCTGATATCCTCATTAGTTTCGTTCACCTGTAGTTGAAATTTGCTTCCCAGGTACTTCGGTAGATGAAGAAGTTCGCTTCTTTCAGGTTTCTTCCATTTATACTGATTGTTGTTGGCTGATTCCTAACATGTAATGATGCAGCTTCCCAAATATCTTACAAATTTAGAGCGTTTTCGAATAATTATCTGATAATCTTCATTTCGTGTTGCTTGTTTAGCACATAAAGCTACATCAGTTTCACAAAGTTATCTTTCCAATATTCAAACTCAATTGATAAGATATCGGCTGAATTAATTAGTGGACATGTGAGGCACTAAACTACCATTCCGTGAGTAAATATATTCATTAAATTTCTTTTAAAATTTACGATCATTCTCATTCTATAATAAAGTAAATAATCTTCAGCATTTAAATGTAAACAAGTTCTGAATCACGTTGTCATGGTAGCGAATATTCTTTAGTTTACTATTGGCTACATTGAAATTATTGGTCAGTTGGTTAGCATAACTTATTGGTGTAAGGAACCAATCAGGTAAAAGTATGTTATTGTTCACTTTTATAGAAAAATGTGATTGGTTAGTTGATTACTATATTTTACAGTCGACAGAATAATTAGTCGCATTTTTTTTTTGAAATTATAATGTCAATTAGAGAATTACCAAATGTTGAAGTTGTAAGCATTGAACAGCCAAGTAGAAAAAAACATGAAGGGCAATGGGAACCAGAAGAAGAAGGCATTGGTTTTGGAGGTGGATTATTATTTGCTCTATTAGTCATCTTATTCATTTGTACCTTTCCAATAACAATATTTTTCGCAATACGTACTGTTAAAACCTATGAACGAGCTGTTATCTTACGTTTTGGCAAGTTAAAACGTTCTGGTGGAAAATATGTTTTAGGCGCTGGGCTACAATTTGTAATGCCTTGCGCTGATCAAATGATCTCGATAGATTTACGTACACAAACAGTGAATATCCCACCACAAGAAATACTAACAAGTGATGCAGTCACTGTCACTGTTGATGCTATTGTATTTATGCGAGTTATTGAACCAGCTGCTGCTCTGTTACGTGTTGAAAATGCAAGGAGATCAGCGGAGCTATTAGCTGTCAGTTCGTTACGTTCAGTATTGGGAACTTATGAATTATCTGAATTGCTAACAAATCGTGATCAAATTGATGAAAAATTGGCCAATCTACTAGATGAAGCTACAGTTGACTGGGGAATTAAAGTGAGTCATTTATCTTGTGAACAGTGTGATTTTCTTTTTTTTTTGTCTGTCGATTCAGGGCGTTTATGTCACCCTATTTAGGACTCTTAATCTAGCAAACGAGATAGTTCCCCCACTGGGAATCGATCCCTGCAGTGATCATTTCAAATGACAAGACTTTGTCCACTAAGCTTTGAAGGCTAAGATTTCCAGGGTTCAAGACTCAGTGGCAACACCAATCATAGGAAGTGCTGGTACATTCATCTAACGAATCCCAAAATGACATCACGCAAATCCTCAAACGTCATTCAAACTTCCGTACTACAAATTGACATGTCAATGAAGACTGGGAATTTCAGACCAGTGTGATCAGCTTATGGGAAATATGAATAAGACTAGAAATAAAAGGCATATAAGTCCCCTTGAAGTCATAGGAAACAACTCGGTTTCAGAGAAGAATCAATTTTTTCAGCGATACCATTCTTAAGCTGCACAATCCCGTTTATATATATATATAAATGTGACAGTTTAGGTGAAGTGCGTTTACTAAGAAAATCCATCTCCATTTGATTTTCTGATATTAGATGGTTAGAAGCAATCGGCCACAGGAAGCCTTGCGTGACCTAGATTTCGTGCTAGTTGGCAGCGACTCACTAGTCAGCAAGGTGTATCTGCAGCCGCCTTGAAGGAACTCATATCCCTTCTGAGGTTCGAACCCGCGTCACCCAGTGCCGCCTGCAGTCAGAGGCGTCCAGTCAAAGTCTTCTCAAATGAGGTTATTTCTTATCCACGACGTAAACTAAATCCAGAATTGAGAAATTAACACTTCTATCTGTACAGGCACTGATTTAAAAATGTTTATTTCAGATTTGGCCTCTCCCTAACGATCCACATCAAGCCAAGAATATATATATATATAAAACAGAAAGAATATTTGTAAAAAATTATATTTGTAAAATCTCAGCTAGATTGAAATGACTAATTCCAACGTTTCGTTTGACAATCTGGTTCGAACTTCTTCAGAAAAATTAATCAAATTTAACATAACAGAGGTTTAATTATAAAAGGATATCTCTTGTTTTTAAAATTACAGAAGACTAGGGCCAGGCAACAGCTATTTTATTGAGGAAATCAACAGATATTTATAGATTTTTATGTACATCATTATTCGCGTTATTGTTAGCAGAGAGGTAACTTCTTCTGATTGGTTGTTTTCCTGTTGAAGGTTATTCCGTCATCTCTAGGTGGCCATTTCTTAGACAGTCCGGTAATATATCTGCTAATCGTATTCGTCCACACAAAGTCTGCTTTGATTGGTTGTTGAGTTCCCCAAGGTTAGGCTTTGTTCTTATTCTTTTCTCATGACCCCGATTTGGGTGGTAAACATTGACGTAAATTGTTGTCTACCAATTTTCGCTAGCAGACAGCTCTCACCACAGATCGAATGAATGTATTGACCTCGACAGTATGTATATATCAATTCACGAAATTGTGTGAAGCCTGATATGTTGGCAGTACTCAGCCTTTATTATCCAAACGTATCACTAGAATATTTGCCTTCATAATTTTACAGAATAGGAAATAGATCCCCGCCACAGCCTGTTTTCTGGAGTACCTGATCGACTCTGGAAACTGAGCGAACATAAGAACCAACTTCAGAATCCTCTATAGAGCAGGTGAAAATCTTGCCGAAGAAGTACGAATCAATCCTTTTCAAACAGAGTAGAAGCTACAGCAATTCCCATGTTAAATCCTGAATTCTGCATATACAAGTTTGTGTTCAGTCATTCTATCCACAAAATAATTAAGGTGCCTTAACATCAGATAAGTAATTTGTGTCATTCCTGATTCTTCCTCCCTCTCCAGTATTGTGCCTTTGTGCTGCTAATGGAAAACAGTGCTTCAAAACTACATCTCCACTCTGTCCTGTGATGTGCAAACCTCTTCAGTTAACTCCAAGATTGACAATAGCCTCTCATCTTCTCCTGCCCACACGCCATCCTCCAGGTCATCCTTGGCCCCCTCGTCTCCCTACCGGAATCCATTTGAGGGCATTAAGCGCTATGACACCCTACGGTTTCATTAGAGTGTGTGTGTGTGTGCAGTCGATCTCGATTCTATTCGAATTACTTGTTCAACAATAAGTTCTTGGCTGAGTCGTCTCCAGAGTTCATCGTTGTTAATCCTTTTCGGCCATCGATAAAAGTCCCAAACCTGGTGTGAATACCTTCTTTGAAGCAAGAGTCTAGTTTGTCATCCACGGTGGGGGAAGAAGCACTGACTGAACGCTGACTATATTGGTGCTGAAGAGAATCCGAAGTGAACTTCCTTCTTTATGCTGAGGTAGAGTGGAGACGATTTGTGGAGAATTGATTTCAGTGTGGTGATGAATGTGTGTCTTGCTTTTCCTATCTTGCGTGACGTCCACCTGTTTTGGAGACAATGCTGCCAAGGTGAGGTACGCAAAGGCAGTGACCTCTTTCACTATATACATACGAGGACTGTATGGTTTGAGAATGACACGACTGATAAAAATGACTGTTCACTGAATGCCTCTTCTTTTATCAAGACAAATAGTTGTGTTAAACCTTTTTACCTAGTAAATTCGTTAATTTTCATATTTTTTTCCGCGGATGACATTGGTTGGTGACAGTCGTGCTGAATGCATAACGAATGGGTAAAAGTTAGAATTCTTGGGATGGCCATTGAATCAGGTGGAGTCCCAGTGGCTGAATGGTATACGAGCTAGCTTGCCTTGTAACCGGAAGGTCCCGGGTTCGAACCCTGTTGGTGAATGCATACTTACGACGATTGCCAAACTAAGCTGCCAAAATAGCTGTCCAGTACTCCCCCAGCTGGTTTTCGATGGTTCTCTAACTCGTAAAACCAAAAAACCAATCCTTACAAACCAACTGCTAGAAATGTCAGAAGTTAGAAAATAGTGATCGAAGAACTGCTGAAACGTCCAGTCATAATAAGCCAGGCTGATTAGAGGAGAAAAAGGCTCCAGAATATGCATGGAAAAGAAAACGTTCAAAGATGTGTAGAGAAAAAACAAAAATACTAAACGGACTCTCTACCTTGACTCTCGGTTTCTAATAGAAATGTCATTAATTCATCCGAATGACTACCCTTCAGTCATTAAAAAGTTATTTTGAAGTAATTCCAACGTGTTTCGAGAGTCAAAAGTGAATTTTCTATACGTTCCACTGTGTAAGCCAAAGTTTTGGGCTTTAATTTCTGCCAAAAGCTGTGGCTGACACAGCCAACTGTTCAGTAAAAGTCCATCTTGGATTTTCTAATTACTTTGGGATTATTTTAAATATATTTTAATCTTAGTATTTCATCATGAACTGATATGTGTTAGAGGACTGTTAGAAAAGCTCGAAGTACTCTATATGTTCTCTATCCCCGCATTTTTAAAAGGTATCTTTGTTTCTTCATGAATATGCCGTTTTTCTTCTAAATAAGCCTAATTTCTTTTGAGTGGCTACCCCAAGGTGGTGGAGTGGGACATTTGACTGCATCGTTGACCATAGAAACTCAGTTTAATATTATTATTATTCTTGTTCCCTTGGGTTCCGAGTGGAACATAGGGCTTCAAAAACACATCTACACTCTCCTCTATTATATTTTCTGCTATCCTCTTGATCTGACCATACCCACGGTTACTGTCCATAATCTCCCATCTCCTCCTCCCTCTCCCCAACACACCATCTCCTCCATGTCATCCTCTCATTGACCACCCACTTGTCGCTCCCTTCCCATTCAACTCCCACTCGAGTGATGGCCTGCATTGCACGCGATGTCATTCAACCGATGGCCTCCTCAATGGCGTGTATGCCCGATCAATTCGTCTCCATTTTCCTCTGCATATTTGTTAAGCGATCGGCTCTCATTCGGTTTGTTTTTTTCCACGGTTTCTTGTAGCTTATTCTTTCTGTCTGGCCATTTGATCTTCACTATGGAGCTAGCGAAGTGGGCAGCTGTTGATGAAAGTCTGCACTAGCCTGTTGGAAATCCTTTTCGCGACTGACTAACACGCAGTGCAAGTTTCTGACCTGTGTAGAAGTACTGGCTTGACATTGGTGTTGAGAATGCGAATCTTGTTCCTTATGATGAGTGTAGAAGGTTCCCATACTGGTTTGAGATTGATGTAGGCTTGCCATGCCTTTCTGATTCTGACTGGCATTGACATCTTCATCCGTTCCCCCTTTAGTTGTAACGGTGCTTCCTAGATAAGATAAGGGAAGGAGGTAACCTCTGTCGATGGTGATTGGTGCTGCTTGTTGTTGTTGCACTTCGTTGGTTATCTTCATAACCTCCATTTCCACCCTCTCTATGTTCACCCGCGATCCTTTCTTCGTTGCCTCTTCAGCCAGTTTTTTTGGTTTTCGCCTGTAAGTCTTCGAGTTTACATGACATTAGACATATATCATTCACAGGAGAAATCCAGATCTTCTAAAGTCTTGTCATCTGTGGTCCAGCGTATTCCTGTCTACTCGTTCCCCACAGTCTAACGCATAATCCAGTCAGTCTATCACTATTAAGAATATCATTGGTGATAATAGGCAGTCTTGCCTTACTGCTGCATTCAGTTTGAACACCTCGCTTTGTTTTCCGTTGTGGATCCTCTGACTGTCATGTGCCACTGTCATATAGCCCTTGAATGAGGTTGATAAAGACTTGAGGTACACCGGAGTGTTGAAGTTTACGGTGTATAATTTAATTCTTGATTACACCCTCACAATTATTTGAGAAAACTAAGAAACCGATTGGTTTTTAATTATTATTATTATTGTTATTACTGTTCTTATTGCTTACACAGGTGGAACGTGTTGAAATCAAAGATGTTTCATTACCACAAGATATGCAACGTGCAATGGCTGCTGAAGCTCAAGCAGTTAGAGCAGCTAAAGCTAAGGTGATAGCAGCTCAAGGTGAATTGGATGCATCAACAACATTAAGAAAAGCTGCTGAAGAAATGACCTTATCCCCTGCAGCTATACAATTACGTTATTTACAAACCCTGGCGACAATTGCTACAGAACAAAACTCTACAATTATATTCCCTTTACCAATGGAATTATTTCAAAGTGTGTTGTCAAAGAAACGCGCTTAACTGGTCTCTCTGTGTATGTGTGTGTTTGCTTTAGTTTTATGCCTGCCCGTGTGTGTGTGCATGCTGTACACTGCAGTGTTATTGCTGATATTTTTTCCCTAACTATTTTATTCTGTTGGTTGTGAAAAGTAGTGACCTTTTATCAAGAAGAAATTGTCCATTGTATAACCAACACTTTACAACATGGATACACAATTCACATCGATACACACGCTGTTCTCAGGACACTTTAATACATTTGTACTAAGCAATCTAACAGGCGTATAATGAACAAGTTATACATATATAAATTTATGTATAGTTATTTTTTGCTCTGTTTTTGATAAGTAAACTGTGTATTCACTATCAGTGGGGTCCACCAAATTTGCCATGAGGACAAATGCTCACCGACAATATTGGCTTTTGGTCCCGCTACGTACGCTGATGTACTAGGAGCTAAAATTTGTAGGCTATCGGATCCCGTCCGACCTTGTAAGCTGAATGTCTTCAGTTCGAACCCTATTAGATGGGATCATAAATGCATGTTACTGAAGAGTTCCACACTGGGACGAAACAGCTTTCCAATATGCTTTACTGATTTTGTACCCTGTTTTTGTCTGATTTCAATCAGTGATCCAACTTTAGCGATTATTTTGACAATTATATGGAGTAACCATTTGAGTTATTTTAGTATTTATATAAGCAGGATATTATTGAATTGACACACTGTTATGTATGTAGTCAGGGCCTAATTATTAGAAGTTGGTAATCACGGGTAATGGTGGATAGGATGTCTGTGAACTGAGCAGTTAGTCATGACAACAACAAGAAGAAGAACCGGGACGGACAATGAAGAAATGTGCGAGCAGAAGGATAGAGGAGACAGTGTGCTTAATGTAAAGTTTCAATTCGAGGATTTGGAGAAACTAGAAAGCATCGTGATACCAGCCAGATAAACAGAGTCTAACTGACGATTGAATGACGTTATTTTACAGGGTGACGATGGGCTCCCTCTCGTTCCAATTTTTTGGTGGATTTCTTTCTAAATAAACTGGAAAAATGGATCTTTGAACAACTTTATTAGAAAATTCTGATTTAATTGCCGATGTATGGATGACACCTCTATTCTTTGTGATAAAGATTCGGACAGGAACACAATAATAACTGACTTCATTGAAGTACATTCTGCTGTGAAAATTACGTGCGAAGAGGAATCACAGAATGGAACTGCCTGTCGAGATGTCCTCCTCACAAGAAAACCGGATGGTATTATAAAGAGAAATTTGCATATAAAAAGTACATGGACATGACAATATACACATTTCCATAGCTTTATTCCTCTGCGGTACAATAGGAATTTTATAAGGACCCTCAGCCACCCACCGGGTTACAGCTATATGCTCAGAAGAGGTAACTGAAGATTAACTAAGGGTTGATTCCATGTGATACCTTGACTGAAAATAGCCATCCAGATGAATTCATTAGGGAATATATGACTAAGAAAGTTGAAAAGACTATTCACTATCTGTAAACAAGAAGCCTTTGTACATACGACTGAAATTCAAGAGAGATATACCTAGTGAAATAATTACGAAAAAGCTGAGGAAATCAGCTTAAGGAACATTTGATGCTGGCAAATTACAACTCTTATTTTCTACACGATCGGTGGTGATTCCCCAATTGAAAGATGAAGTACGTAGACTAGCTAACCACTTCTAATTGTCTCTCCCAATTCCACTGAGCGTCTGGTGCGTTACCGTTGCTCCAGGAAGTTGATTTCACAGGCTTGCTCAACAACACATACCAGAGTGGTGTGGCTAAATAAAGGTGTAGTGAAAATCATCATCAACTGTGTTCGATATTAGAACACTTCGTCCAAAGTAACTGGCGAAATAGCCAGCCAGAATTGAAGAGTCCCTATCCATCATCTATCAGATACCAAGTAAATTGACAAAGGCATCCAGGTACCGCATATTTCAAACAGCTGAGGCCACTATCACGACTCGTCTGAAACAGGCGGTGGTCTGTGTGTTCCCACAAGAATCAAGTCTAGGTAGCCACTCACTGTTACTTCCCTGGCCGGCCTGCAGTGGAGACTATAAATTTATGAATTTGTATTATAATTTTTCTTAATTTTTCTCTCTGATATTCAGTGTAGTGCAGTGTTATGCTGGTGCCATCAAACTGTAATCCACTGATGTCATTATCATTGATTCGATGTTATTTAAACAACATTAATGTTGTTGTTAATATCACTAATTCATTCATTCACTATTATGGATGCATATAACTGTAGAAGCTGATGATGCAGAGTAGGTTATCGAAAAGAATATTCTTTCTTCAGTAACTATCCTTTTAAAGCAGCAAGTCGGCAGAAGAAGCATCCAGAGAAGATAGGACTTCAGGTGAACATAGAGAAGACAGAGGTAGGTGATGAAGATTCCTGGACAAGAACAACAACAGACAACAATCAACATAAATGGGAGGAATCTGAAAGAAACAACATCCTTCACCCACCTACCCGGGAAGCATCGTTTCAACTACAGGCCGACGGAACTGACGAGGATATCAAAGCAAGAATCGGGAAAGCAAGACAAGCTTTCACTACTCACGTCAAGTCTGTGTGGAGGGCAACAGCACTCACCATCAAAACTACGATCCGGATTTTCAACTCCAATGTGAAGTCAGTCAGTGCTACTATACGGATGGATCAGAGACTTGGCCATCGCGTCATAAAGAGCATCTCAAACAAACTACAGACCTTCATCAACACTTGTCTTCGCTCGATACTCAAGATCAGATGGCCAGCCAGAAAAGATCAGCAACAGGGAGCGATCTCTGGGAGCGGACCAACACAGCTGGAACCGATTGTGAAACAAATAGGCAGGAAGAAATGGAGATGGATTGGCCATACTCTGAGGAAACCATCAAGTGAGTGACATCACTAGACAAGCCATTGCTCGAGTGGAACCCGACAGAATGGGAAACGGCGAGTTGTTCGTCAGTGCGAGGGTGACTTGGAGGAGGTCATGTGAAGAGGAGATGAAAGCGTGTGGGCAGAGTTGGAGCCAGGTGAAGACTGTAGCAGAGAACCGAACGCAATGGAGACGTATGGCCGAAGCCCTATGTTCCTCTAGGAATTAAAGGAAACAATAATACATAATAATAATAGTGATTAAGAACTAGGTTGTGACTAATGTTCTTCCTTTCGGTACAGAATGAATTCTATCCGTCTGCTTTGCAATGTTGCTATTATGTCACTAGGTGGCTCACTATCATGATGCACTCTAAACTGTTGTTAGATGGTTAGATCCAATCGGCAGGAAATCCTATCTGACCTATGTTTCGTGCTTGTTGGCAGTCGTCAGAAATCTTGAAGGGATTTAAATACCTTCTGAGATTCGGACCAGTGTCACCAGGTATTGTAGTCAAAGATAAACAGGTATTTATTAAATGTTTTTATGCTCGACAGTAACATAGAATATGATCCCTATATCATAATGCCCAAACTCAAGATGATACCATCTGGTTCGGATACAGCGATATTGTCTCAGTGTGTAGACACACCACGATCACTTACTGAGATACAGATACGCTGAAGTGACAAGTCACAAATCGTACACCACCAAACATACAACCTTCAATGATAAATATGTGTACTGAGCTTTCCTCTCAAAACTACTCCATACATTGAAGACAGATTTAGGCACAGACTGTTATCAACATGAAAGTTATCAAATATAAAGAAATTTTGAGTATCTGTGAAAGAATCTCACTGTCGCATGCAAGATAGGGACTAAAAGCATCAGTTTTCCAAGTAAGAACTGTTTTCCGTTCACTCCTTGATTTCCTAGTGTAGCTTAGGTGTTGAGGCCCTGTAGTATCAGTGGGTGTCGTGTTGTTTTTTATGAGGCCAGAGTGCTAACCAACGGCTAGTTAGCTAAGTGAAGTTAACCAGTTCGTCGACCAGAACTCCAACATGGGGCCACGTGCATAACTGGCAAGAATTCTGTCAGTAAACGAACGACTGACTGACTGACTGGTTTCAACAAACAACACTGCACAGATATGCAGCACTTCGAGTTGTCACACTCTCTCCATGTAGCACACAAAGCAAGAGAATCGAGTAAAGACAGATTCAAAAGAGAGAGACAGAGAGATGATAAACAGAAGTGTAAGTGAGACAAAAAGAATAGCAATTTAGAAACAAAATAGAATTTTATTGGATATGACTGACAACGATTTTGAGTGATGTCACCATTTGTCTTCAGTTCCCGCCATCTGTAAGCGCAATATCGTTTGAAATTAAGTCACGCGTAGATAAAGGCTATCCCGGTCCAGAACAAACAAGAAGCCAGTCACTGTTTCTACGGTACTATTAATAAACAAATCAATAATTATGTATATAACAAACCTTAAAAGTTTCAAGAGTACAAAGCACAACGCTTAACAGAAAGCAAGGTACCGCTATCAGAGCGGAATAACGTTAAAGCCAAAATCGAGAACTAGCCGGAATCAGACACGACCGTTCAGCTAAGCAGTCAGTAAAAGAATGAACCCAAGTAAGAGATAGACAGAGCATAGGCACAAAGATAGAATTTAATTGGATACTTAACCAGGTAGGCTAATAAAGATGAAGATCAATAAATACGATAAACTCAACAGAATAGTACAAAGTAAGACATGGGTCAGCAAAAATAACAGTTCACAAAATACTCTGATTGGGTCATGAGTTCAACGGTCTGACTAAACGGATGGATGTAAAAACACACACACAGTTCATTAAACAAGGGGGATAGACACGTTAGGCATGTATAATTGGGTTTCAACAACGCTAGGCTGATCCGGGACAGGTTGACTTGATTCAGGGATGGGAATTGAATTGATCTTACACCATCTCTAGGACCCCAACCAGTAAGTCAGTCAGGAAGTCCACAACTCCCTACGTGACTGGCCCGTTGGCCGGCTTAAACTAACTGTTGTGGTTTTATTTCATTCACTGGTGATGAAGGTGTGTTTTGGTTTAACCATCACCACCATTAGCCAACTCTTTTCCAACCTGATCCAC